ATTCATGTTTTTTTTCTATTAGTAAAAAAAAAAAAAATCAGTTAAATGTCAATTTTTATTTTAAAAAAAATAAAGCCACTTACATTTTTGTATGCCATGAAAAGAAAAAATCTGCTTCTTACATTCTACATGCCACTGGAAGAAAAGATTGCACAAAAATTGCCACTGAAAGCAAAAAATGCACAGAAATTGTTTCTTAAAATGTTGCTTCCATGAAAAGAAAAGCACGCCGAACCATTAAGACAACTTTCTGCGAGCGAGTTTAATACGTTTCTGTTTTCATCACTTTCTAAATTAGTTTAGCTTTGGGGGTTTTTTTCCAGAGCTCGACCAATTAAAAAGGAAAAAAAAAGAAAATCTGCAATTGTTTTGCAGAAGATCAGTCCTGGCTTCCAGCTTTCCCGTTGTTGGCCCCAGGGTGGAACGCAGGAGGGAATAGATCCAGGGGGAGGGGTCTTGCCTTTTAAAAGAACTTTGGAAGTATAGGAATGTTTTTAGGACGGGACTGCAGCCACTCATTTGGAATTGATTTCTGATCACATTTATAACTTCATTGGAAAGTTTTGCAAGGCCAGCGGATGCGGCTTCACGATATATGTGGCTGTGCTGTACAGATTTAGGGATATACTGAGACCACCCCCTTCGGGTGTACATAGAAGTGTCTGTCTTTGTGGATGGAGGAGGTAACACTTCCCTTCCCCCAATATGATGATCACAAATGAGCTTCCCCCTGCCCATGGCCACCCAGGCTCTGCGCTCCAAAAGCAAGTCTGTGATTTGTCATCGTTCTCGGCGTTTGTAAAAAAAAAAAACAAAAACCCTTCTCACGGGTAAATAAAACTTGAATCTGCGGCGGGGCCGGAAATTTCCATAAGCATTCAGTACATTTGCAATGATCTTGGGTGTACTTTAGACTCTGGAGTTTCATTGTTGTGCTCGCTGAACTGCTGACTTCTGCACAGTGTGATAGTTTGTACGATCCAAGCCGCGTCGCTTTCATGGACTTCTAAAGCGCAAGTGACGTCAGGGAGGAGGTGACGGCGATTCGCTAATCTGCCGATTTTAGAAATTCTGCGTCTTCAATAGCGCAGAGTCTGAGAGAGTTCACATT